ATTTATACATACTTCATAGATTTGCTAAGAAGCTTCTCAATAATTATCTTACATAATTTATTGCGATCTGATGGGGTTAATCGTGTATGTGTCAATAATTTTTGACCAGTGCCTGATTCTGAGAGTAATTCTCTTAGATTCTAAAAAATATATAATAAAACTGAACACTCTGTACAATTGCTTAGTGCTATTTAACAATATAGGTTTGTATTATGTAATCGGACAATTACAGTTTTAATAAAAGTAGGTAAATTGATTTGTTGTTTTATGCATTTTCTAAGAGACAGTTAGATATTAAAAATTAAACAAAGATTACAGAAAAATAGTTCTGCGAGATGAAACTTAATTAGTCACGAAAGTAAGCATGAAAAGATATATGCAATGCCATTACGAAATAAATAATACATACCTTTCTCCGATAAGGACATGTGTCCATCGACGAACCACTACCTCTACTAATATTATCAAGGTCACTTGTATGTGATAACAATACGCTAACCTTGTCCTCAGAGTCACTTCGATGTGGTAACACTACGCTAACCTTGTCCTCAGAGTCACTTCGATGTGGTAACACTACGCTAAGATTATTCTCTGATTCACTTATATTCGTAATATCCTAAAACAGTATAATATTCACATTAAATGAACTTCACATAACTTAAATAGAAAAAGTTAAGAATAAGATTATAAAATTATAAATCACGTTAGCTTACCAATATTGAGTTGTTAACAACCAATGTCTGATTTATACTTTGAAGCAATATTTTCCGATTTGTCAAGAAATGAAAACGTTGTCCAACTAAGGGTATCAATTCTTTTATCATAGAATCAGGCATGTGTAGAAATGCTTGCTCATCAATTTGCTCATCTAAACAAATGAAACTAAAAATACAATTGTACTTTCATTCTACATTAATATTATAAAAATATGATAATAACCTAACCTTTAAATTTTTCAATATATTCGGAAAGGCCCCACTTTGTTAGAGTTTCTTCGACAAAATTAGACATT